ATTTGCCCATGTCTTACTCATCTGCTTCTATAAGCTCATAAGGGTTTGCATAACCCTTGCTGTCTCGTACCAATTAAATATAACTTGCTAAACCTATCAATACCTTTTTTTCTTTCTCTTGCTCCTTACCTTCTGTTATTCCTTCCTTCAGTGGGTACAGAATTGTAATTAAGGAGTCCCTCTCCACATCCTGCTTATCACTATATCCAGCCGTTCTTCCTTTTTATTTTCAGGGGGGGGGGAAATAAAATCAAATCCTGTTTATTTGTTTACGCTCTTTCCAAAAACTTTTTCTTTTCCCCCAGGAGTTCTCATCGTGCTGCTTTTCTCTTTCACCTTTTCAGATATTTCTGGCTTTTTGTTGCTCATATCTGGCCTCTTCATGTCATCTTTGGTTTTGTTTTTATACAAATACCATGGGTTATGCCAGTAGTATGTGGAAAGGGTATGTGGAAGGGTTTTACCTACATATTTTTCCCCTAGTAGTTTTGCATTCACAAACTCAAATTTTCTTAATCCTTCTCAAACAGAGAGAGATTTCTCACTCTTAAAAGCTGGGGAGATTTTTTTTTCTTTTTTGTTTTGTTTCCTAAGTAAATATAATACTGTTTAAATTCAGTACAGGAAATGTATTTGTGAATCTTTGGTGTTCACTGAAAAGACTGGAAGACTCCTGGAGTTTGTAACCTTACAAGGGTGGAAGGAGACTCTGAAACTTGAAAGTGCATTTAAACGGCCAGATTTTTAAAAAAAGATAATAAGAATTCTGCACTTTCATTCAATTGGAGAACACAGAGATTACAGAAATCTTGGTTGGTTTAAATTTCTCAAACTGGCTTTTTTTTGTTGGCGTTTTTTGTTTGTTTTGTTCTTTGTTGTTTTCCCTGGTTTTGTTTTGATTGTGACAAATGCCAAAGAAGCCAAATAGTTGTAGTGTTCTTCTCATTTCTTTTTCAGTTTTTAACTTACTGCTTCTTCTTCCCTATCCCTTGGAGCCTTGCTCACCTCATGTGGTGTTTTTGATACAACCTCAACTTAACTTCTTGGACAGAGCACCTCACTTGTGCCCTTTCATTAGTATTTTCTCCAAGATATTTTTCTGCTGCTCTTCTTGAGGTTTGGCTTCCAGACATCTGACAGGTCTTTTCCATCATTGTGTCCACAAATTCTCTGTGTTTTCCCAACATGTCTCTTCTGGTTTTCTCACCCTTCTCCATCTAGGAAGAAATTGCAGAAGAGTAGGATGAATTTGAAGTAAAAATCTCTTAGGAAGTGGTGATCACATAAATGCCAACATAGCTAGTTGTACTCAGTAACATAAAAAAATACTACAAAATATTTTGACTGAGTTTGTGAAATGAAGCAAAGTTCCTAGTGAAACTGCTTTTAGAAAAGAACTCTTCCTTGGCATTTAAGCTTTCACAGGGAATTAGATCCAGTATTTCCCTATCTTGGGGCAGCCATTGGGCTGAAGATTTAAATCTCTTGAGCAGCAGTAAATTTCCCCAGAAAAGCTAAGCTTTTGCTCATTAGCCCAACCTGCCTAAAGTTCTCCTAGAATCATTTTCATGTGGCAGGTGGCTGTCTCTATTGTTACTTAAACTGAGCTTGAAATTAATTGATACAGACTGAAATGTCTCATAAATATTTGGAAGTAAGCTAGCCAAGTGTTATAGAAAAATGTAATTAAGTTATTAAGTTCCCTATGCTATAGAGGCCTCACTTGAAAGAGTTGAATTTTTATTCCTTTCCAAAGGGAGAAGAGCTTAAATTTGAAATCTAAGTTTTTGAAATCTAATTTTTTCAATGCTTTTGAGAAATCTCCAAAGCAATTCTATATCCTTGTGTGAAAGATGCTACAGGAACACAAAATGTGATTGTTTCTCTGTAGTGAAACTGGAAGTGTTACCATTCCAGTGTTTCACAGGATACCACAATACACAGAGGAACTTATGTTCATTATACCTTTTTTTTCTGGACATGCTTTTTTTTTTCTTTTTCTCTTTTTTTTTTTTTTTTTTTTTTTTGTGAACAACAGTAATGAATGACAGACATCAGCAGAAAGCATCAGAGACTGAGAAAATAGTTCAAAGTGATCAGTGGCAGTTTCAAGAGGAGCAACAAAGATTTGCAGTGGAGAGGGATAACATCCACAGAGTACACCTTGCTGAGCTAGAATTCCTTTTTAAAGAAAAAGCTGAAGCAGAAATGGCTTTTCAGGTATGATGTAGCACTAGATGGAAAGTTCCATGAGATGCTGGCTGAAAGTGTTTTGCTGCAAAGTGTGTGGTGGGTTGGAGTTTTTCTGGTTTAAGGGAGAAAAAAAATCCCCCAAAATACCTAAATACTGCAGAATAGTTCTGAAGATTACAGAAGTCATGAAGTTACAGAATTATGAAGTTACACTTGGTGTGTAATGCTGGTTTGGGGCTTTGATGGAAGGTGTTGTGCCTGTTTGTCATGGGAAACACCTAACCCAAGTTATCAGTACACAGTGGTAGTGAAAACAGGAGCTTGTGGACAGGACAGGAGCTGTGGACAGGACCTAATGTCCTTCTCAAAAGAAGCCAGTTTTTATTCAAAGCTGATTCTTGCAAAGGTAGGGCAGGATATAGGCTATGAAGAAGCCTACTTTTAGATAGGGTTTTCTTTTTTAAGTTGCCAGGGGCAGCAGGGTCAGCTCTGAGTTCTGCCTAACAGTGAGTGGCTGAGTTAGTTTGAGGAGGCTCTGGAAGGGTATTGCCTTCTGTTGTGCACAGTGTTTTGTAGAAGCTACCTTCAGAGAGTTTAATGCTGCATCAAAACTCAGTGTTGAAAAAGTATGCCATGCTCTGTCGAGTGATGTTTGTCCTTGAAAAAGGACAAAAGGAGCAGTGTATGGCTCAGGACATTGTCTTCTCTGTCAGTTCCATATCAGTGTTCTCTGACAGTGGTTGTAGAGGAAGGGGTTTTGTTGGTAAATGTATTAAAGCTACAAAATTGTAGGAAATGTAATTCACATGAGTAGACTAAGATTGCCATGAATGCATCTAGCTCCTTAAACAGGCCAGAGTGAGCTGTAGGGTTTCAGAATCTTGATGTCACTGAACTCAGAAATCTTTCAGGACTTTCAAAACTCACTGCAAGGAAAATGTGATTCCCTGCTAGGTGTCAAACCCTAACCTGCCTTCAGTAGTAAAAATGTTACATTTTTCCACTTTGCTTTTGTAGCTGTTCCCCTGCCCACCACCCTAGAGTTATGTATAATTATAAAATGCTTGGAAATAAAAAATATTACATCTTGATTGTCCTTGACTGCATGGAAAGCTTAATTCATTTAAGCTTGTCAGATGAACATCAGAAATATCTGGGTTTATAAATGATGACTTGGAATGCATTGCAGTCTTCTTTTGTGTTGTGTATTTATGGGCCCAGTTTAAATCCTTTAGTTATTCTGAGTTTTAAAATGAAATGAGTTCTAAAATGAAAGGAGATTTAATTGTGGTCTTAATAAGTGCAGAGAAGTGGGATTCTGAGCATGTAGGAAAATCCTGGCTGGAAAAACTGCACTGCACAAACTGTAATTCTGAACTTGGCGGTGAAAATGCTGAGGTAGGCGTGGGTGTGGAGTCATGGAGTATTGAAATGTGCCTCTGGAACGAGCACACAGGAAAAATCACCCTCCCTGCTTTGTGACAGGATCTATTGGGCGGATCCTGGCCTGGGGTAGGAGGGGTTGGATTCGGTAGGAAGGGCAATAGCATCAGCTCGTGGTTAGGCAGGAGTTCATATCCCTGCACGTTTTTTGCCTTCAAATACTTGGGAGAGTGTGTCGTTCACAAACGGTTTAAAAAAAAAAAAAAACCAACAAAAAACCAGCTGTGTTTGTCATGAGCAAATATTTGTATTTGCAGGTGGCTACGGGGATAGTATTCAACAGTCATATCACCTCCAAAAAGTTCAGAAATTCTTCAAAATTCTGAAATCCTACAGCTCATGCCGACTTGTTTAACCAGCTTGATATACTCACAATAATTTTAGTTTTCTAATGTTAATTATATTTCCAGTAGAAAATATTTAAAAATTTTTTGTTGTATTTCACAGCAAACTATTTGTTACTTATTTCACATTTCCCTGTTCACATTTGTTAATATTTGGAAGATAAACCTGAAGAAATAAATATTTCTCTATCTTTCCAGTTATAGAGAAGAAATGTTAGAAAAGGTAGAAAACAGGTAGTTCATTTTGGCTTCTTTATTTCTTTATTTTGCATTCTGAGGGGTAGAAGCCTGTCTTGCTGGATGTGCAAAGCTAGAGGATTAGCTTAAATTTAATCCAAATTCATATGGACAATGGGGATTCTGTAGCAGTGACTTCATGGAGCTGCAGTGTCCAGTAATGTCAATAATGCTTCCAGCCTCTAGCTGAGTTCAATTTCTGTATGCAGAAATTGAAGTGGGGACCATCTTCTTTTATTCTACTGAGGACTTCATAAGTTTTTAACCTCAGTTTCTAGAAAGAAGAAAATGCTTTTCAGAAAAGCAGAAATCAAAATTATTTAGTCTGTGGGACTAACTGTTTCTAAAAACAGCTGAAGTTTCAGCAATCAAAATCATTACAAAAATGAACTTTTGTCCCCATGCATAATTTCCCCAAGTGACCTCTGTTTCTATCATTGCCACTGAGCTGGGAGACAGAAGAGATTGGAAGGGCTGTACTCTTTTAGGGAAAGGTTTCCAGTGGAGATCTGGCTCTGATTTTCGTGTTACCACAGAAGATCATGTTCACAGTGATTTTTGGGCCAACACAGATTTCTTGGTGGTGAATCAAAAGCACGTCTGCTATTGGGTAAACACTTCTGTTGACGGGTGCTGGCGTCGTAGATTTTAAAATTCTAACATCATCTTCTGATGCAGTCTCCATTCCTCTCAAACTGCAGTTGAACTCTCAACTGCAATACTTTATCTTAGAAAAAGTGCCTCTTGATGTATTGATTTACTCCTTTACCTATTTATCTTTAGAAAACTAATGCTGCCCTGCAAAGCATTGCCAAGAAGTTGAAGGATATGGAGGCAGAGCACAATGGCTGCACCAAGGTGCTGAAGCTCCAGGCCGCCTGTCTGGAAATCAAGAATAAACGGCAGGAGAGGCTCCTCCAAAAACTGGAGGTAAAGCTTTCTGCCTGCTGCTGGGAGCCTCAGCAAGCACTGGCACAACTGAGCAGTTTCATTTCTGAGGGGTGAAACCTCTGAGTTAGGCTATGAGTGCCCCGTGTTTGATTAACAAAATGCAGAGCATCACTTGGCAGGAAAGGTGGATTCACAGGTGAATGCTGCGAGCCTGACCTGAGAGTGGTGTTTGAACTGCAGATGGAAAGGGCTTTATGTCACTGGGAAAGTACTCTTAGCAATATGGGTACAGAGGGAGTATTTGCGCAGGATTTGTGATTTTTTTATTTTTTATTGCAGCATCTTAAGCAGATAGATCTTGTGGGAGGAGGCAAAGCTTAAGCCTTTCGGCTGATGCTTTTGTGGAGTGGGTTTGGTAAGCTCTGTGCTGTGACTTTCTCTTTAATAGGCCTTCCACAGATCTCTGTTTCTCAATTATTTCCTTTTGTGAATGTGTGAGCTAATACAGAGTTTAAATTTATTGCCAACAGCTCGTATGTTCATTTTATGTATTTATTTATTTTTCAGTTAACGTTTCCCCAACTGAAGTGCTTAGCGTTAGGATTCAGTCTCACATGCTTTCTCCTTTTGCTTTACCTGTCCAAAATCAATGACTTGACTTGTATCTGTGTAACCTTGAGTGTCTTAAATTACTTTTCATATGAATGTCCTTTTCTTCATCTTTCTGGCATCACTTGAAGGCAGAAGTCATTTTGGGGTGTATTGTTCTTTTCAAATCAATCATCAGTCAAAGTGAGATGATGCCTTTGAAAGGAAACAATGTAGTTGAAATTTCCTGGGAATTTCTATTATAGCGGCTCTGTAGTTACTGCTTCTGCTAAAACCATTTTTTCAACTAAAATACCATGTCCAGGCCTTTATGTAGAGACAGGTATCTGTGACTACAAAAACTGTAGCAAGAACATAATCCTACATCAATTTCTTTACCTAAATAGAAAATATGACTTTAATATCCTGGATATGTAATTGTTTCCTTTTATTTATTAATTGACATGAGTTTTCACAGTTCCAAAGTGCAAGTAGTTCAGATACCACAGGTTGGTTTATGGAGCCCTAATAAACTGAAGAAATTAAGTTGTCTTTGCATGATGTTATCATCTTTCTGGACTTAGATATTTTTTAAATGTACTTCCTTTTAGGCAGCTGCAGTGAAAACAAAGGAACTGGAGGATGATGCTGCAGCAGCAAGCCGAGCACATGTAGAATGTAAATACACTACAGAAGTCATGCAGGTAAACTTTTGATTAAATATTTGGTAGAAGTTTGCAGTAAAATAGAAGATGAACTTGTAAAGGTGCAATCTTCCAAAAATGTTAAGACTTCCTTGCTCCAGGGGAAACACTGAGTAGATTTTTTGCAATGATTGTCAAGACTGTAAAAGGTAATAGAAAAATATCTCCTTGATTTCCAGGGAACCATCAAGTTCATAGAATCAATAGTCAAATAAAATGTCACATTCTTGTGTTTTACAATTCAAAGGAGCACTGAAAGAGTGAGGGAAAAGGAAATGTTTCACAGTAGTTAAACTGCTAAAATATTGTGTCCTATATCTTTGGAATGGGCACTTAGGTAATTTCAGATAGAGTGCATTCACCCAGCTTCTCTAGGTGTGAGATATTAATGCATCCTGAGACTGCACTTCCAAATGTAACTATTCAGAGTATATTTCAGCTATTACATCTGCTGTTACCAGAAGAGTTTGAATATATGAAAAAATGCGATATGCATACTTGAATATTAAATTTTTGTATTACTAAACTGTGTCACACAGGGTTTGATCCATTAAAGCAATTAGGGTTTATTAAAAAAAAAAGTGAAAAACCCTGTAAGATGATTGTTGAGTGATCTTGTACTGACTAATGAAGCCTTCCTACTGGATTTTTGAAGAATTAAATGAGAAAATAAAAGGGAATTTCATCTTTTTTTTCTGGTTTTCTGAGGAACACAAGCATTGCCACTTCTTCAGTCAGTTATTTTCTTATGACCTTCTCTAAGTACAGGCATTTGGATTTCTGAAGTGATGATTAAATAAATTGTGATGATTCAGGTTCTTTTATTCCCTCTCTACTTTTGCAACATACAAAGGAGCTGGAAAAGTAACATTCCATGAAGTTAGAGATTTATCTTTTATGGGTGAAGAGCTCAGAAGGTTTTCTTCCTTGTTTATGTAGATGAACAAGCTCCACATGAGCTTTGCTCTGAGTGCAAGTGTAGCTTTTACTGTTAATCCCACGCTTTTATGACTCTACTTCATGAATAGAATTCCCCTGGAAAACTTCAGTATTATAAATAATGGAAAACAGGAAAATCCAAACACCATGCAAGGAGAACAAAATGTGCTTTTGGTCAACATATCTATTTCTTTCTGTTTTGAACTCTATGTATTAATCCATTTTTATGTGTGTTAAATGCTTTCTAATTCCATATAGAATTAATAGAAGATATTCACCTATAAAAAGCAGAACAGAACAGTGAACAGCATTCAAGACCATGGTAGTCTTTCCTAACTTCCTTTAACTGCTGTCTTATCACTTGGTAGTTGAGAATTCAAGAACTCGAAAGCATTTTGAATGAAGAGTAATGTGGCAGGAGAGAAGATTTTCCAGAAGGGATAGCAAGGGAAGATTTCAGAGAGCCAGTAAATGCACCTGAGACAGGGAAGAAAGTGTAAGTTTCCTTTTGAAGCCATTGCAAAATGGCAGTAGACAGCCTCAGTACAACTCACAGTTTACATTCCCTGCATTTTTCAGTCAGCAGAAAATCTGGTGCAATGTGCCAAACCAAACTAAAGGTTCAGAACCTGGCAGTCCATTAATAACAGGCCCATATCAGTAACCAAAGGTATTGTGAATGGTACAGATAATAACTAGCTTGTTACAGTTTATTTGCCAAACCAAAAATTTTGAAAATCATAGTTATGGTTAGGTCCAGCCTGCAGCAGTGGTTGGGGTGAGTGTAGGAAAAGATATCCAGCGGGTCTAGAAAAATGGCTTTTCTATATACACTGATATTATTATGAAAACATTGTTTTCCACTTTAGTGAGTCAGTTGGATCTCTAAGACTCCTGTCAAGAAGTTGTGTATCATTTAGAGTGGATAATCTTTGTTTTCAACTTTTGAATGGCTGTAGAAAGCTTTAAATGGTTAAAAAATATTGAAAAGTGTGAGAGCAGAGGAAATCTCTTGGGATGTTTCCTGGCCAGCACAGTCTGCTGTGCCTGTGGTAGCAGAACTTGGGTGAGCTCTCTTTCAGCCTAGAGCTATATGGCTCTGTATACTCAGGTGTTTATGTTGACTTACTCACAGAAGGAGCAGTGGAGAAGGAAAAAAATGTTTTCCCACAAGAAGGGAAGTTTGTGGCCTGAGCAACTCATTCAAGATTCATGATTATGAACATGTTTTTAGTAAAATACTAAAAACTTGAGCTGGAAAAGCCTTTGTCATCCTGTGCAAACATCAATTTGAAGCAAGCCTTTGGCTTTCCTGATGCCATGCCTAAATACTCAGGCAATCTTTTAAAATTCTTCCTTGGATTCCCTTTCTGTGCTTCTGTGTCCTTTATGCTATTGTTTGGCCTTGGAGTTTTCTCTTCAGCTGCCTGTTTAGTCATGCCGGGCTCTTGATATATCTGTTTTCCTGAGTGACACAGTACAAGAACAGATTAAAATTCTGGGCAGTCTGCTTTAAAAGCCAGACACAGTAGAGTCAGGCATGTGGAAACCTTAAGAGCAAGAACTGTACTTGAAATCAGCATTGATGATGCAAGATGTGACATGGTCTCTCTGAAGACAGCTGTTGTGTTAATTAAAATATGAAGAATTCTGTTTGATATATGTAACTTTGAGGCCACATCCAGATAATCTTATGAATTGCATGTCACGAGGCTTGGTAACTGAAAATATTACCTCTTGAAAAATCGTTCTTAGAAGGAATATAAATTTCTTCATTCACTTAAGAAAGGCAAGCAGCTTCAGAATCCATGTGATGGGCTAAAGTCGTATCTGCCAAATCCATTGATTATCCTTTAAAAGAACACAGGGCATTTGACAAAAGTAATTTTGGTTAAAGTATCTTTTTTGTGGAAACTTTCCAGTTCATGAAGACAGCGTTTATCCTCCGGTGTGCAATGGAAAGACCAGGTTGAGGAAAGGAAGAGAGCTCAAGATTCCAATGCAACAGTAGTGGCTCCTCCAGACAGCTTCAGCCTGCATGAAGGCTCAATAGTAAGGAAAAAAGAGCCTCCATAGGAAATAGTAAATTGAAAAAAAAGCTCAATAGTAGGGAAAAAAATGTGGCACACTGTTGCAGTGTGATGCCACTTCCTGTTTCACCTATCCCAACCCCTCAGGTGTGCCAACCTTTCCTTTCCCCTTTTGCCCTCCTGCTAGGAGCTGTCCATCAATCTTAACATTCCAGCAGGGTCATGGTGTGGTTGGCAGAAGTTCAAAAGATGCCCCTCAGGTCCGGGCTTATTGGCCTGTCCAAGTGTCTGTATCCCTTGAGCCTTCCCCTCCTCACACCTGGTTGGTGCCTCACCTGTCCCTTCCCCTCCCCCTGTCCCCGGGGCTTAAAAGGAGACGGGACCATGCGGTTGGGATTCTACTGGGAGCTCTTTCAGAGGTCTACCATCCTGGAATAAAACTCTGGATTAAAACTCTGTGATAGAATCCTCTCCTTTCTCTTCACCGTCGCCTGAACCTTTTCCACCAGAGGTAGACTGAGTTTCTACTTTGCCTGGATTTGTTGCGAGTGCGCAGCTGCAGCACCCAGCCGGCCAAAGGTATCTCTGAGGTGAAACACCACAGCTGCCGCCTTTGGTCCAGCAGCAAGGGTCAGGTGGGGCCAGGCACGTCCCACCCAGAAATATTGGATTAATCATCTATAGCACACATTGCTTAGGTTTTTTAAAACATACTGTCAAAATATTTACTGAGGTGAGGATTTGCTGCATTTGCTGTGCTGAGCTGTAGAAGAATTCTGCCATTCTCTCACCCTTGTCGTTATTATGTTACCTTTAAAAAAATTTACTACATGAATAAATGTAACCAATGCCTTGGAGAAGCTAATTTGAAAATGTTTTTTTTTAAGTATGGGTAGGATGTACTGGCATTCCTAATTAAGGCATTTTGTAGATATTGATGATCATTTCATGTGAAGAATGTTCTTTCTACCTAACGTTTTTGTCAAGTTTCATTAGCTACCATTGTAGAAATGTTTATTTCTATTTCATACACCCTTTTAGTTTTAGTGCAAGTATTTGACTGTAAAAATTGCTTGAAAATTGTTTCAAGCTTTCAGGTGGAAAAGCAGAGAGGACTTTTTGTTGTTGTTTTGTTTTTTACTTGTTTTGCTGTGGATTTGGCACATTGGATGTATTTCGCTGGATTATTTTCTGAACACTTTCTCCTCTTATATGACCACTTTGGGCTTTTCTACTCTCTTTACCCAGCTACACCTTGAATAACAATTTTGCCATCTTTTTGCATAGCAGCAGGGACAAAGGAAAGTTGTCAGCATGTTTAGAAAATCTCTCCTTTCATTGTGTGGTTACATTTGCTCTCTTTCTACTCTTAGCAATATACTTTTTTTTTTTTTTGATAGTGGCTTGCAAACTTCTCCTCTTTCTCTGTCAGAGCTCTGAGCATGGAAGGTGCATGGGGTCTGTTCCCTGTGGACAGGAGCAGAGACCTGCATCAGAGAGTCTTCAGATTTGTGGGTGTCTTTTGTTCACTTGATGGAGTTAGTCCACACTTTGTCTTAGTGCTGTCCACTGCCCAGGCAGATCTGTCATTCATAAACTGGAGGCAAATAAAATCAGGATCTTCTTTTCTCTTTCTGGGAGAATAACAGCTTCTTGCATGCAAGCATTAATGTATTAAAAGACATTTGCTGGCCTACTTAGCCTAAAAAAGTCATTTCATCAGGCACAAAAGGAATACATACAGAGAAAAGCAACTGTCTGCCCTAACTACAGGCATTAATGATTGCTATTTCTAACTACAAAACACAATTGCAAGCTGAAAATATTCTACTGAAGTGCTTGCTTCCAAACCTGAAGTGCTTGCTAGCTGTTGCTGTGGTAGGAGTTTTCCTTTTTATTTGTATTCCTCGGTACAGCAGTGTTCTCTCTGAAAGTGGAGAATGTTATTACTATTGTTAAGTCAATTCCTAAAACTGTCTGGTGGGCAGACAGGTGGTGTTGGACCTTCTTTGAGCTGTCATGATGATGGTGGATTGTTTTCAGAAATCAGGAGTCCATTTGCAATTGATTATCATGGAAATTTCCCTCCTACCACTGTTTTTGTTTCAGACATCTAATTCTGTAATTGCTTACTAGAAGAGATACTTTCATCACGATTATTACTAGCAACTTTTGCTCCTTTAATGCATCATTTGAATGGCAAAGCTAAATTTTCTTTTCATTCTTGTCTAGGTAAAACCCACGTAGTTATTGTTTCTTCCATTATTGTTTGGTTTGTTTCTGTCGCAGGAATGTGAAGAAACGGCGCAGAAAAAGAGGCGAAACTCTATGGCCTCGAACAACTCTCCGACAAACTGGCCCAGGAAAACAATTCCTTGAAAAATTCATTATTAGATGCTTTCAAGGCACGCTCATCCCTGCTGGCAGCCTGTGCGCTGCTGTCAGGGGCCCTGTGCTCTCTCTACGGCCGACTGTGCGCCACGTCTTGCCAAAGAGACATTCTCCAGGAACAGGTGAACCAGCACCAACTCCTGAACCGCAAGATCGTCAGCCTCCTTTATGCTCTCCCTGCTGTCATGGAAAGAAACCAGGACGAAGGCAGGCTGAGGCAGAGAAGAGCCAAGAACCTGGTTTATGTGTTCCGAAGAGCTGTGATTGCAGTTCTGGCTGCTAACAGGCTGAGGGCTCTGGCCCGATATTCTTGTACATTTTTCGTCTGGACAGATGGATGCAGAGGAAGCTCTGGAATTCAAGTTTGTCTGGGAGAATCCAGAGGCAGGCATCCTGTGCCACGTAAGTGAAACGTTCTTAAAATGTTATGTCAAATTACATGCTTAGGGAATAACAAAGAGGAATAATATTTTTCTTGCTGGGGCATAAAGACATATTTAATGACATTTTGACAAATGTTATTTAAAGATTTTACGTTTTTATATTGCTTGATGAATTTATTTCAATCTAAGAGGAAATGCCGAGTCTTATGTTAAACACTGCAGGTAAAATTGCAATTATGCACATGAACTCAACACTATCTGGTGGTTTTGATATTTGTGTTATGGATTTCAGAATTAGGTGCTACAGCATCTTCTCTGTGGTAAATATTTTGCAATGTTCCTATTTTTTTTTTTTTTGAAAAGGTATTTCCTCTTTTTTTAAAAATAATTTTTCATATTTATTTCCTAAAAATCCACAAAAATTGCTTTCTGATTCAGGTAAAATATTAGCATAGGATTTCAAAATTTTCTTTAGAGATTATGTCTAGATTGCCCCTTTCTGTTGCCAGACCAGTTTAGATTTCCCTCTACAATGATAAATGGTATTAAAAATGTTTTCCAAATTACAAGATTCATCGACTTTTTTTTTTTTTTGAGTCATTCTGGAAGCACGCTTAAAACAGTCTAAATTGTCCTGACTGATTTTTTGTTTATATGCTTATTTTTGGTTAATTTCTGAAACAGCTGGAGGCAGCAGTGTGCCATAGTTTAGTGATTTACTTATCCTGCTAGCTGCAATTCTGTTTCACAGGTTTTGCAGAGGAAGGAGTTGACTGGATTGAAGCACTTCACTGGTTGTCTAGCTCTAACCTCTAGACTGCAATAATCAGTTCCATCTCAGAACTGCAGGGTGTTCTCAGCAACCAAGGTAATTTTAACTGTATATTGTTGTAGCAGAAATATAGTTAAAAAATAAATAAGTCAGGGTGGTCATATCATTTCCATTTTTATGATTTTATCTAAACTCTTCTGGATCATAGCTCTGAAGAGATATTTCTGATATTTATGATAGATGCCTTTGACTAGAGGTTATATCCTGAGCTAGTCAATACAAATTGTAGTGGGGCTGTTTCCCTGAAAGAGTAATTTGATTACAGGGTAAAATAGTTACTCTTCTCTACATTCTCTGAATGATCACATTTCTGTACTGTTGGAACAGATTCATTTTCTTAAGCAGCTGATAGGATATTTTATCCTTTCAGTATATAGATTCATGGAAGCTGAAGGCTGGAGAGTGTTTCTGGACTTTATTTACAGTGAGAACTGATACACGTTCCCTTGGTTCATCTGCATTGCTGCCATCCCTGGTTCTTTATTAACCTCTACTTTTAGAATCCCCACATTTTTGTCCCAGAAGAAAGGATCTTAGAAGAGGGATAATTTATGTGAATAAAGGGAAATAACAGGGCAAAGACAAGATGATGCATTTTCCAGAAGCCTAGACCCTAAATTGGTATCAAAGTTGCCATTGAATCAAATGGGTTTGGATTCAGTTTCAGGCACTTTCTTCTTTGATCATGCTGTTGTCAAGAAATTGAATTCATATCCTTTAAAAGCAAAGTTGGAACACTGGTTCAGATTCAGCATTCTGTATTTCAGAATATTTACAGCTTCCATCCTGTAGAAGTGAAAAAGAATGTGATCTTTTAAGACACGGGAACTAATAACCTGCTTGATGTTTCCTTTGTTTTGTTTTTTTCTTCAAGATTCGGAGCTCTGGCTTTTTAGTAACTCGCTGATCGGCACAGCCAGGAACTGCTTTGCACAACTGATGGACAACCTGAGCGTTCTGATGGAGACAGTTCAAGGGAACGCTCGTGGGTGCAGAGCCTACCTGGAGAGGGACTCGCTGATAGAGAGGCTGGCTTGTGGCCTCCAGAGAGTAAATGCTAGGCCCTGGAACCTGGATTCCATGACAGACTGCCCAGCACAGTAAGCAGATTGACAGTCCTCCTTCATGGAAACAGGTTTACAGCAACGGTGAAGCTCCCTTGATAGCAGTATTTCTTTGGTTTCAGGCTGGTGATGAGTCCAGGTCAGTCAAGTGCTACTATATGGACACTCCAGAAGTTGATTTGTCACGCATTAGGGTGTGAATGTGTCTTTTATTGAGAAAGAATTTTTGGAGGAGGTTTAGTGTATCCAAGTAAATGATTTTTTTTCAAGTTCTATCAGATCTGTATTAGCTTATAAGAACAAATTGGCTTGATGTAAATGTTAAGGTTGCTTTTTATTATTGTTTTCTACTTTCTCATGTTTACCATCCTTTCTTTCAGTAAAGATAACCTTCTTCCCTTTAACCAAAATGAAAGGATAAACTCTTTCTCTCATAATCTTCATAGTAAACCTTAGGTGAAAAGAGTAGTTCCTTGTAAACAGAATTTGCAGTAACCCTTGGTAGGTGACAGGTTCAAACTTTTGTCCGTGTGCATGTCTTTTAGAGATGGAGGAAAAAATTATGTTTTCTCTTCTTTTTCTTGAGTCTTAAGTCTTATTTATTTGATTGCTAAAATAGCAGATTTTATAGCCCATCAACTTGTTTCTGTTTGCTGACAGAGAAACATAGCAAGAAATATTTGCAGCAAGAAATATTTGAATTTTCACAAAGGCTTCATGCAGCAGAGGTAGAGTCCAACTCACTGCACCTGCAGCTTCAGAATGCAGATGGGCTTTCACCAAGATGCAAAAAGATGCTGAAAAACCTCACAGACTGCAGAGCCAATTAAGTGAAGTTCAGCAAGTAAGTGCATTTGACTTGGAGGCTCTCTTGCTTAAAAGAGATTCTCCTTTCTACACATTTTTTGATTTGTGTTCTTTTGGAAAACAAGCATAAAATTGATTTCCTTTCAACAGAATTTTCCAGAAACCTTTGCAGCAGTGTGGCCGTGAGAAAGACGTCCAGCTAGCCGACCAGCACCGCTAGCAGCACAGGGGGCACTTGTCCCCATAGCTCAGCTTCGGGACAGCGCCTAAGGCCAACGCCCAGCTTGCGGCTGTCAGCGTTGCCTTGTGCAGGACGAGACCGTATTGAAGCTGCAACCAGCGCAATAAGAGGGTGGACTCCAACTGTGGTTTTATCCAGAGTTTAGGGAATCCTGGGGGAACCAGCAGGAGAAAATGGGGAGGAGAGGATTTACAGTGGTTTTTAAAAGCTGGAGGAGGTAAGGGAGGTGCCAGACCTAGGACCAATAGAGACACAGTGGGGAGTGGGATCCGAAGGACTGACACAGGGAAAACACCAATGGGGACAATACTGAGGAGGGGCCCCGGTCCTTGGACCAATCATCCAACTCTCCAGCTGGAAACTTCTAGCAACAAAGGTGGGGATGGAGAGTGACTGGCAGGGCACTGGGGAGGGGTTGAGAAAAGGATACATTGGTTTCTGGGGAAACCGGGGAGGAGTTTTAAAGGATACAATACCAACTGGGGTGGAGTTAGGGTGACAGACACTAACAGGGATGGGAGGGAGAACTGGGGCAGAACCATTGTCAAACAAGGGGGGAACAGAATAGTCCAACTTTAACCAAACACGGTACAACAAACCTTGCCTGTAAATGTCACTAAACCAAAAGACAGATTTATTTAGAAATAACTCCAGTGGAAAAGGGATATCTTTTGATTTGTAGAAGGAGGTATCCTGTATAAATTAGAGTTTGGTCTTCAGCAATCCAGGTTCTCCCATTTGTTGGAAATGTTGATCTGATTTATGTATCCTAAAAGAAGATTTCACTTCAACAGAGTAAAGTCAGTGGGAATGGGGGTATTCAATAGGAATGTTAATGAAATATAAAGATAGCAGTTGAAACTCTGTATGGATGTTGACGAATGTTATAATAAATACAATACAAATTTTAGCTGGTCTGTTTCCCTGAAGAAGTAACTTTATGGCAGGGGGAGGAAAAGCTTTTGTCTATATTCTTAGTAGCACAAAATTCCCCTGAGTCTTTTGCTGTTGCTGATTGACTTACCGAGACACTGTGGATTCCCTAACCTGAAGCCTAGTTGGTAGAACCTGTCAGGGTGTCCCAATCCAAACACTTCTAAGCAAGGAATATCTGCTAGATGATGTCTCACCCATTGTCCTTCCTGTTCCTAGCTAGTAAAATGGATTTTTTTTTTTTAACTCAAAAATCTCTAATCATCTTCAGTTTTGTTCTTAACAGGTTTTATGGCCTTAGTGGTTTTGGACTGTTAGATGAAAATTATCCCATATTAGATTGTAGTTGAAATGCAGATGACAACTTTCTTTGAAGAATTATTTCTTTCTGGAACAGTTTTTGGACAGGAAGAACAGTCCACAAAGGTGTTTACAAGGGTTAAGAAGCTCTCCACTAAAATTCTGAACATTGATCTGCATATTTTTCCTTCTAAATACTGAAGTTTTGCATCCCACGGTGCTAATTAGAATAGAATAATGAATGCCAAGACTTTCCATGAATGTTCTTTATAAAAAACACAGCAATTGACTGGTCTGCCATTTTATTGGTCAGTGATGTCTTCATGTTAAAAAAACCTCAATACTAATCATAAGCATGCATTTATTTTAGAATTTGATATGTTTGCAAGTGGAACTCACTTAGTGGTAGGGAAACCACTGAATATAGTTACAGAATCAGGCACCACTTGTTTCTCTTTCCAGAAAATCAACCAAGACAATGTACAGGAGGAGTTACAAAATGCTTTGCAGCGTGAGCACGAGGCACAATTGCTTTTACAAGAACAGCAGTGACGGGTTCAGGAGCTGAGCAATAGACTGGAATCACACTCATTTACTGAGCTAAGTAAAAGCCACATATCTCCGACGGTAAGATAATTCTTCTGGAACAGTCACCAGAGTATTACCTTTCATGAAAGAAGCCAAATAGCGCAGTCCTTGTGTAAATAAAATAACAGGAGTAAATACACACACACTACTCAGTCTGCTGGAACTTTAGTCTACTGAGAAAACACTTCAAAGACTCCTTTTTAAAATTTTTTTAAGCTGTTTTTTTTTAACAGTTTAAGAAAAAGTCTTCAATGGGGGTTTGTTTTGGGGTTTTTTTTGCCTGCAATCATTTTGCATTCTAAAGCACATTTATATATAGCAAATATACTAAATACTAGGGGGGTTCTGAGTCAGTAATGCTTTTGCTAGGAAATTCATAAAACCTTAGGATGCAGTGGTCCAAATGTACTTCACAATCAATTTGTCTCCCACGTTGGTCAGTAGCCAGTGGCATAAAGTGAAGTTTCTTTGGGCGACAGAGTAACTCTGCTCTCTGTCTGCTGGCAGGGCCTCCCTGATACAGCGGAGGAGCTGAGGAAAAGAGACCAAGTTCTGGATCAACAGGAGAAACTCCTGAAAGACATGGAGCAGGACCAGAAGCGGCTGCAGGAGACTCTCGAGGAGGCAGAACGTGCCATCCAACAGGGAGCAATGTGAGCCCTGGGGCCAGGGGGATGTCACTTAAAATGAACAAAAATTGAAATTCCTACTTCCATGGGCAGGGCTTTACTTCCCTGGACAACGTAAGGTTAGAAGAGAAAAGTACATCTGTCTCTTTTGTTTTGAAATTCAGGGATAGTCTTCTAAAACCAAAAGTGTTAGTTCAAAATACTAGGTAATACATTTTATGCAGTTATCCCATAGTAGTGCTTCAAATTCTGGGTGCTGAAATAACTGGCAAACAAAATACCTGTGCTATCTAACTGATCTGACAAGATCTCTTTGGCACATCCTTAAAGTTCTGTTTATTTAAGAAATGATTGTTTGGTCTCTGTGTTTCCATGCCAACTTTTTATAGGCAGATACAATTTATTTATAGTAAATACAGAAGCATCAGCTAGGGGACAGGTCTTCACTGCCAAAGGGACTGAAACCCATTTTGGATCTCGCCTTTCCTGTGGTACAAGATAGATCTTCCAGCTGATTTCAGGGAGTTTTGGATTTAGACCTAATCCCCACACCACTTGCACCATAACCTGGAGTGGCAGAAAAGGCTCAGGCACTGGTCTTGAAAAGACTGGTGGTCAAAAGGAGCCCCCTTGACTTGAAGGAGCTTATTACTCATCAATTCTTACGCCATATGAAAAAAATAAGTCTTTGCAGACTTTGTTGTCTAATACTTTTCATAGTATGAAGTATGTGTTACGAATATTGTTGTTCCATGGCTAGGATCTAAAAAAATTTTAGTTAATTAAAATTTCTCATCATACCTGGGATCATTCAACCTCTGAAGAGCAATATCTGAGAAGCTTTAAGGGTTTTTTGCACCAGGGAAATAATGCAATTTGTATGGTCATCAATGAAATGTTTAACAAGCTAATTAAAATGACAACTGTTATTTGGTATGAGTTGATCAAAGCAGGTGTCACCTGCAGAAAGATTTGTTCCAGAAAGCTTGCCCTTTTCATCCTGCCCCAATCTATTTTGGGCATTTCAGTAGAGATCATTCCTTGTGGCCATATATATATATCCAGAAAAGGTTATTCTAATGTGAAGTAACTTTAAAATTGGCTTTATTTTTTTTTTTTCTCCTGTATATAGCAGCTGAATATCAACAAAGAAAGCTACTCTTCCTCCAATCTTACAGCAACTCTTCACAACTAATAGGTTTTATTTCTCCCTTTGGAATATAAACAAAAGAGATTAAATAAACAGAATCTGTCTGTGGTTTCCAATACAAGAATATAATTCCATCCTGCTAGAGACTTTTTATGACCTCTATATCCAAGCCATGATGATTGTTCATTGATAGGCCTATAATTATCTCAATTTTAATTGCTTATCCTCAACAGAAGCATCTTTCATATGGAAATGCACCAAATAGTGGTACATGAACTATATTTAGGATTGGCATTGGAAATATGAAAAAGAGAGAAAATCCTAACAGTTTGGATTATCAACAATTATTTTACAGGACATGACAGCCATCAAGTAGCAGAAGATTAATTTCTACATTGGTAGAATTTCAGTTCCATAAAGTTACTTCATTGTTCTTGTTTTGTTTTGTTTTCTTTTATTTTCTTTTATAATAGAGACAAAGAGTTGATCATTAGTCAGATGAAAGCTGTGGAAGCTGCCCTGAATGAGGTAAGAATTTGACGTGTTGCCTCTGATTTGTGTTTCTAAATCAGCTAAAGCCTTAGAACTGCTTATTCAGTTGTCATCGGCAGAATTTGGGGTTCTTTGATCATGGGGCAACTTTTACAGCACCTGCTCTACTGGAACCAGATGGGCTCTGTCTCTCTGTTAAGGACAGAAGGTTTTTAGCTCATGAACTGGCAGAATTTGTTGAAAGGACATGGAACTAGGTCTGAAGGGGAAAGGGGATGCATCTGGGCTGTCTGGAAGCAGGCCCAAGGGTGGTAAGCCTGAGACAGGAGTGAAATCAGCAGCCCAGCTGAGGTGCAGGTATACCAATACACGCAGCACAGGTTACAAACAAGAGCTGGAGGCCACGGTCCAGCAGCAAAGCTATGATGTCATTGCCATCACAGAAATGTGGTGGCACGACTCACGTGGCTGGAGTGCTGCACTGGATGGCTCCAAGTCCTTCAGGAGAGACAGGAAAGGGAGAAGAGGTGGAGGGGTGGCCCTTTATATTAGGGAATATATAGGCCAACAAGGCTGACATCCTACTGGGAGTCTGTTCTTGTCCACGCAACCAGGAAGAAGTGGTGGACAATTCATTCTATAAACAGCTAGAGAATGTTTCTGGAGCATCAGCCATTTTTCTTGCTGGCAATTTCAACCTGCTGGACATTTTTTGGGAACTCAACACAGCTGAAAAAAGGCAGTCCAGGAAATTTTTAGAGTTTGCAGAGGACAACTTTTTGTCAGAGCTGGTGGGTGAGCCCACCAGGGGAGGGACAATGTTAGATCTGTTATTTGCAAATAGAGACGGACTGGTGGGAGATGTGGTGCTTGGAAGTCACTTAGGCTGCAGTGATAATAAAATTATAACATTCTCTATATTTGGTTAAATCAAGAGGAACATTAATAAGACTTTCACATGTGACTTCTGGAGGGCAGATTTTGTCCTGTTCAGGACACTTATTCAGAGAGTTCCTTGGGAAGCAGCCTTTAAAAACAAAGGAGTTCAGGAAGGGTGGGTGAGCTTCAGAACAGAGATCTTGAGGGCACAGAAACAGACTGTCCCTGTGTGCCGAAAGATGAGTCGATGAGGCAAACGTCCAGCCTGGATGGGCAAGGAGATTTTGGAGGAACTTAGGAATAAAATAAAGGATGTATTCTCTTTGGAAGGAGAGTCATGTCTCTCAGGAAGTATTTAAGGGGGCTGCTAGAGCATGTAGGAAAAAATTCAAGAGGCCATAGCTCAGTTTGAACTTAAAGTGTTGACTTTTGTAAAGAATAATCAAAAATGCTTTTGTAAATAGATGAATGGTAAAAGATCATTTAGTAAATGGTAAAAGAAGAGTAAGATCAACCTTTGTTGTTTATTGGATGCAGAAAGGAACTTAGTAGCTGCAGATGAGGAGAAGGCAGAGGTGCTTAACACCTTCTTTGCCTCAGTTTTTAGTGGGAAGGCTTGCCTTCAGGACAACTGTCCTCTTGGGTTGCTCGATGATATCGGGGAGCAGAATGGTCCCCCCATTATGCAAGAGGAGGCAGTCAGAGAACTGCTGAGCTGCTTGGACCTTCACAAATCCATGGGTCCAGATGGGATCCATCCCAGGGTGATGAGAGAGCAGGCAGATGAGATTGCAAAGCTGCTCTCCATCATTTACCAACAGTCCCGGCTCACTGGTGAGGTTCCAGAAGACTGGAAGCTGGCCAATGTGACACCCATTGATAAAAAGGGTGGAAAGGAGGATCCTGTTAATGATAGGCCAGTCAGCCTGACCTCAGTCCCCAGTATGGGGGACTGAAGAGTTTATATGCAGTGTCATCACACAGCACTTACAGGATGGCCAGGGTATCAGACGGAGCCAGCAGGAGTTTAGGAGGGGTAGGTCATGTTTGACCAACCTGGTCTCCCTTTATGAGCAAGTGACCCACCTGGTCGATGCAGAAAAGGCTGTTGATGTTGTGTGCCTGGACGCCAGCAAGGCCTCTGGCACTGTCTCCAACAGCACACTCCTGGAAAAGCTGCAGCCCACGGCTTGGGCAGGAGCACTCTGTGCTGGGTTCAGAGCTGGCTGCATGGCCGGGCCAGAGAGTGGTGGTGAACAGTGCTGCATCCAGCTGCAGCCAGGCATCAGGGGTGTCCCTCAGGGCTCTGTGCTGGGGCCAGCTCTGTTCAGTATCTTCACTGATGCCATGGATGAGGGGATTGAGTATTTCATGAGTGAGTTTGCAGACGACACTAAGCTGGGAGTGTGTGTTGATCTGTTGGAGGGTAGGAGGGCTCTGCAGAGAGATCTGGAATGGTTGGATGGATGGGCAGAGTCTAACAAGGTGAAGTTTAATAAATCCAAGTGCTGAGTCCTGCATTTTGGCCACAATAAGCCCCTGCAATGTTATGGGCTGGGGATGGTGGGGCTGGACAGTGCCCAGGCAGAAAAGGACTTGGGGTTACTGTTTGACACTGGCTGAACGTGAGCCAGCAGTGTGCCCTGGTGGCCAAGAAAGCCAATAGCATCCTGGCCTGGAGCAGGAATGGTGTGGCCAACAGGAGCAGGGAGGTCATCCTTGCCCTATACTCAGCACTGGTGAGGCCACACCTTGAGTGTTGTGTCCAGTTCTGGGCCCCTCAGTTTAGGAAGGATCTTGAGATGCTTAAGGGCATCCAGAGGAGGCAACGAGGCTGGTGAGGGTCTGGGAACACAAATCCTGTGAGGAATGACTGAGGGAGCTGGGGATGCTCAGCCTGGAGAAAAGGAGACTCAGAGGCGACCTTATCACTCTCTCCAACTTGCTGAAAGGTGGTTGCAGTCAGGTGAGGGTTGGTCTCCTTCTCCAGGCAGCAACTGACAGAACCCAAGGGCACAGGCTCAAGCTGCACCAGGGGAAATATAGGTTTGATAATAGGAAAAAGTTTTTTACAGGAAGGGTGATAAAGTACTGGAATGGTCTGCCCAGGGAGGTGGTGGAGTCACCATCCCTGGATGTGTTTAAAACAAGACTGGATGTGGCACTTGGTGCCATGGTTTAGTGGTTTAGTGGAGGTGTTAAGGCATGGGTTGGACTCAAGGATGTTTAAGGTCTTTTCCAACCTAGTCATTCTGTGAATTCTGTAAATACTGTGGGTTTTTTCTATTGGTCCCTATTTGATTGGCTATTTTAGGGTTGGGTTTTGTTGTTTTATTTTTTTCCTTGGTTGCTTCGTTGCATGGATTTTTTTTGTTTTGCAAAGTAGCAGTAGTGAGTGGGTGGGTGTTTGTTTTTTAACTTTTTTTTCTTATTTTCTCCCTTTCCCCTCCTCTCCCAAAGGCTTCTTCCTTTCATTTTATTATAAAGCAGTAATGGTTTTTAA